GTACCAGATGAGAGGGTAAAACCTTGAGCCAGACAGAGAAAAAGATCCGGGTGTTCATATCGCACCGAACCTGTCTCCTGAGGCACACATTGACCCAATAACTTCCCCAGAGACAAAGGAACCAAGAACAGCATTAGCCTGTAGGCAGAATGCAGGAGAAAAGGACCAGGAGAAAAACAGAGAGCGGAGAATAGAGAGAAATCACAACACATACGTAAGGGCGAGGAATGAATGCATAAATATTAGGAGAACTTTGGAAAAGCATTATGGGCATGCAAATATATTTGCCATAACATGTAAAACCACACCGGGAGGAAGATATCTGTGGATAACCAGGTTATCAGCCGTTCACAAGTGTGTGTGAGGGGGGGGGGAGGGGACTCAAAGAATGGTAAGGTATCGTGTGATTTAATTAATGGAAGTTTTCAAGAGGTTTGTTAAGTAGGAACTTATCCTGCCACAAGACCTACGAGCACTTAGAGAATACACCCTCTTCCTCCCACAGGAAAGACTCGCTGGAATGTACGAGATACGAGCCAATAGTTGTGAGGAAAATAACTGGAAGAGCCGGGCGAGCGGCCTGGAGCACATGTTCAGCTTACCATAGACACTAAACGAGGGATGTGGAGACATATGTAAACTCGTTATCATAGTGTTCAACTCCTCGCTGGGAAAGGGAGAGCTACCAGACAGTTGGAAAATGGGTAATGTGATGCCAGTGTAATACACAATGAAGGTGGAGGACAAGAATTACTGAACTACTTGTCAGGTTGTAAGTTACTAAAGACACTTATCCCAGGCAAGCTTGTTGAACAAAACAGCTGAGTTTCTTCTACAAGCACCAACATGAATTCAATAATTTGAAATCCTGCTTAACAACCCTATTAAATTAAGAGTTTATAACGAGATGGAAATCACACTAAAGACAAAATGTTTGTTAGACTGCATTCAAAGTAGTTCTCAAAAAGCAGGGAAGCAAAGGGTCTCACTAAGAAGGAAAACATTGGAGAGAGGCAAGGAGCCAGATTCACGAAGCAGTTACGTAGTACTTACGAACGTGTACATCTTTCCTCAATCTTTGACGGCTTTGGTTACATTTATTAAACAGTTTACAATCATGAAAACTTGCCAATCAACTGTGGTTATTGTTATAAACAGCCTCCTGGTGCTTCGGGGCTCATTGACTGTTTAATAATTGTAAACAAAGCCGCCAAAGATTGAGAAAAGATGGATGGGTTCGTAAGTGTTTGCATAACTGCTTCGTGAATCTGGCCCCAGGTGTAGAGTACCACAAGGGTAGGCGCTCTCATCCACGGCCCAGAAAATATGTTCCTCCATGTCAGTTTGTCCTGCCTGATACAGGAGTAATGGGAAGACGCACTCAATAGGCGCAGTTCTACACTTGTGCTCGTTTAGTTACTTGTGTGGTTTTAGGAGTACAGTTGGCGGCTGTGTCTCGTCTCTTTCCTCTCTCTCCCTCCTCCCTGCTGGGCCTCCTCGGCCTTATCTTCCTTCAGGCATTGATGAGGTCCATTGATGCACGACACCGCTACTATTGTTCATTTGAATATCGTTGTGTGTGTGTGTGTGTGTGTGTGTGTGTGTGTGTGTGTGTGTGTGTGTGTGTGTGTGTGTGTGTGTGTGTGTGTGTGTGTATATACACAATTTGTGCCTTCAGGATCGAGCTGGTAGCTCTTGGACCCCGCCTTTCTGTCTGTTGTCTAATGTGTGTGTCTGCAGTATGTGCTTGAAACAACACATTTATTTAGATCTTAAAGAAACAAATGTTTTCCTTCGAGTGGTGAACTTAAGGGAGTAATGATTGAAGAAACCCCGCTGGTTCCTCCCGTCTCTGGCGTCTGGCTTCTGCTGCCTCTGTCTGTCTCAACTGTCGCACCGAACACTACCCTGCCAGGTCATCGTGACTATCAATTTATTTTTTTGTACTAATTTACAAAGAACAGTGAATGCATTTAACGAATCTAGTCTTTGCCCATCAACCCAGCAAAATATGAAACCACATTTAGTATGAGTCACATAACATATAAAGTCCTGAAGCTATTTAGCGATTTATCGAAATTCGTATGTTGTTAAAGATTCGCTACCTGGAACAAAAAGTTCCAAGTAGCACAGGCTATGGTGAGCCCGCAAATGTGAGTATAGTACGGGGCTTAAAACAAGAACTCTGCCAGTTTCTGGAGGCGAGCCAGAGTGTGAAGGGTGGACTTACGACCCGAGAGAGCAGGTGCGGCCTGACAAATCGCAGGAAGTCCGGCCTCGAGGAAGCTCACGAGAAATAGCATGACAAACATCGTGTGCATTCGTGCATGCGCTCGCTTGTGTGTGTGCATTTCGTGAAACAGCTGGCAGGATAACGTAGCCATGCGTGAGGTGGTGCCAGTCGTGTGGGCATGGTCACCACTCCGCAGTCTACACCACGCCTTATCTTTAATGTGCTGGGAATTCTAGCCTGCGCATATTTAGTGTTAAGATAAGAAACTTGACCACCCTACCAGTGTGTCGTATATGTAATGAGTCAGCTGTGCATTTACCCCACCACCCCCCACTCCCCCCACAGTGTAAAGGGGTCGTAATCCCCCACTACCCCCATTCTTCCCCGTGACGGTCTCCGGAGGCCTATTTTCCCCCGCCGTCTTCCCTCAGAAAACGTAATCTTCCCCACGAGGAAAACGCGCGCCACGGGAGTTATCATCCTCGGTCAGGGGCCCCGCTGCCGTGCTCGTTCCGGGGCCAGGCTCACTGGGACTGAATTTGATCATGGGGGATTTTGGACGCAAGGGCGAATTTGAATGCCACATGGCACGTTTCATAGTCCATTGTGAGGGGCAGGGTGGGGGGATGTAGACGCAGTTTTGCTGAAATGATGACAATTTGTGTTAGTTGAAATATGTATCTTTTTTTGTATCCTGCTGTTAATTAGATATTCTCCGTAAATAGGATTAATACTATGGCCGGAGGATGAAGGGTAAGGTGAGGGTATACTTATTAAAACACCTTGGTGGTTTATTGGCATTGCTTATGCAAATGGTGTGGCAGTGCGCGCGCATGAGTGGGGTGTTGGGTGTTCCAACAAGTTCTTGCACTGAATATGTTATATTTGTATGCTAGAGGTACCATAATTCTGGACTAATTAGAATCGTCGATACTTTATGGGGGAGTAACATTAATACGGCAAATGTATCACATTTTAATTTGTATATTTTGTATACATGCGAACACATACATGATCGATACATGCAGTAGCCTGTGAACCTTGTAGTTTCTCACTTGTACTGCTTCCCCCCCTGAGGTAATCTAGCAGCACCCACTAGAGTTTCACCCTGAAGCATTATCTGTAGTCTAGCAGCACCAGGTAGTACTTTACCCCTGGGGTAGTTTAGTAGCACTATCTAGTGCTTCACCCAGAAGTAATGTAACAGCAGAAGTAGTCTATCACCTGTAGTCTAACAGCACCCATTAGTGTTTCACCCTAAAGCATCAAGTGTGATTTAGCAGCACTAACTGGTGCTTCAGCTCGCGTAGTGTGGAGTGAGGTCGTTAGTATGAATCAGTGTGTGGAAGGGGGTCACCGCAGACCACTCACTATCCTTGGCAAATGGAATCGCTTTTGGGCTCCTGCAATGCTTGTTAAAACTTCGTTTATTTTTTTTTCCTGAAGTAAACTTCATTAGTGAGCTCCTTCCTTGCTGGTTTCGTCAGCTGCATGGATATGAAGACTCCTTAAAGCCGTTCTTCAGGTTGCTAAGTTAATGCAATTATTCACCTGGTTAGGGACAAGCCCAAGCCAAACGCGACGAAAAATATTGTTGACGTGTCCTGCTGCTCGGAGACAGCGGCATCTTGAAAATACTGAATTATAATTAGCACTCCCAGATGTCACTGAGCTGTCTTGTAGGTTCTCTCATTGATTTCTTTCTTCAAAATTTTACGATGTACAGTATTATTTGAATGGTCTGGGTCTCCACCACCACTGCGGCGAGGTTTCTGGCCTGATGGTGAGGCGCTCCATTATGAAGTCATTATGTTAAACACTTATATTACCCAGACAAATTGGTAAAAGTCGTCAGGACTACTCCCAAGAACACGCCCTAGACCACTACACCGACACCGTAAAAAAGAATGCAACCTGGGATTCAACTGAATCCTCTGAGTTCTGATAAATCCCAGTCAGGGTTTCACGCATGTTGCAACCCGTTCTCGCAAATTTAACAAGTCAATATTGACTTATTAGTTGTGTGCATAGGCGACATACTAAACATAATAGTTTCCCTTGAAAAGCTTCATAGAAAACACCGACCTTACCTAACCTACTTAGTATGTTAAAATAAGCATCTTATAGCTTCGTAATTACAATTGTTACTTAACCTATTATAGGTATAGGTTAGGTAATAATTGTAATTACGAAGCAATAAGATGCTTATCTTAACATACTAAGTAGGTTAGGTAAGGTCGGTGTTTTCTATGAAGTTTTTCAAGGGAAACTATTATGTTAAGTATGTCACCTATGCACATATTTAATAAGTCAATATTGACTTATTAAATTTGCGAGAACGGGTTGAATGGGAGTACCAAGTGTGAAGAACATAAGAACAGAGGTAACTGCAGAAGGCCTATTGGCCCATACGAGGCAGCTCCTATCTATAACCACCCAATCCCACTCATATACTTGTCCAACCTGCGCTTGAAACAATCGAGGGACCCCACCTCCACCGCACTGTAATTAGGTAATGTAGCACATAATTTGCTAATGTTATGATGGTGATTTTCAACCCTGCAAATTATCATTGGGGTGAGCTAAAACCGTAATTCAAACATAGAAAGATGAAATCAAACAGAAATACAATGTTACTACTACTGTATATTAAATTTGTATAATGTAATATGATTACATGCTGGATTTAGTTTCAATAAAGGATGACGACTGGTTTGTTATTACATATTTACAATATACAATACTGTAGTGTTGTTTCTTTCTGCAGGAGCCCCAGACCCCACAGCAGGAGGGAGTGCTGAAGAAGAACACTGTTGGCATCTGGACGCTGAGCAGGTCAAAGAGCAGGTGGGCCAGTACCTGACTCAGGGAGGCTACTACAATGCCAACAAGCAGCTATACTTTATGTTCACTAAGGTAAATTCTTGTTTACGTAAATAGTGATGGCTTGTAGTGCATAATAATCTTGGTATAGAGGTGACATATTGTGTAGTATTCCATTAAATGCCTGCTACATAATATGCTTCACAAATATATGCATATTTGCACTTAAGTTATTTATAAGTGCATATATTTGTATGTAAGTGTTTAAATATTGCCATTGAAATGGCTCTTACTACTCTATATATATATATACACATGTTTTGTGGACTTTTCTTTTGTTAATGAGTGTGTTCTTGTTAGGTGCGGGAGATGGTTCGTGCTAGAGACAGTAATGGTGCTAAAATGCTCACAATGATCACTGAGCAGTTCCTTAATGACCCCAGACTCTTACTCTGGAAGTCCCAGGGTACCCCAATGACAGACAAGTGTCGACAACACTGGGACCATATAGGTAAGCAACTTGTTTAACTCTTTAATTTTGTTACAAAAGTATCCTTAGAAATTTCCTGTTATCTTTTAAGATAATACAACATCCTGTGCAGGGAACTTTATTAATCAATGTCAAGTGTCTTTAATGTGAATAAACTTAGTGGATTTTAAAATGAAATTATGGGTATGGAAAATTAGTTATCTTGAAGTAAAACCTGGATTTTAAGTGGAAACTGAACTTGGAGAAGTGTACACACACACACAACTTCGTATAGCCATTAACTGGTACAGATTACATTAATTAACTGGTACAGATTTCATGAAGGAGTTATATTTTGTAACTTCTGTTTTTACCCAGGCTGTGAAATATAAAATCTTCCCTCCCATATGGAATGCTAATAATTCACTGAGCTAATGTGAAACTTTTTTTTTTTTTACATAAATCACATACTGTGTTTGAATTCAAAGGAGTTCAGGCTACAGGGTTTTAACATATCAACCTTGAATGGTTAGACAGGATTTAGACATGACCTTCAGCATTCTAGATTACATTCACATTATAGCTATTGATCCAGTACAAAAAGAGATTTAATAGTTTTTAGATAGATGAACATTATAATGAATTTATTTGACCTATCTGAACTTACATTTAACCAAGATACACTGACTACATATTACGTGTTCACATTGTGTAAATATGATGCGGTAATTGTTATCCCTGTAAATGTTTTATGTCTACAGTATTGTCAGCCTTGCATGAGTGTATATAATGGTTAAATCTATTATTATTTTATTAAGAGTTATGTACTGTATTGTATTCAATAATTTTCTTGTGACCGCTTAAAATTTGTGTATTGTAATTTCCTATCTTTTTTAGTTAAAGAAAGACAGTTCTACATTTCTGTTGCTCATCAGGATAATGTGTTTGTGTTGATGCTTTATGTATTGAATCTGGAGCATCACATAAATGGTCAATTTGATTTATTACCTGTTGAATTGGTTCAAAAATACTTCATTAATAGAAGCCCAGTTTTGTCATGTCTTAAAGTAAACTTAAGATATTAACTAGTCAGTATCATATATGCTATGAAAAGAATATTGTAAATTACATGGAACGTTTTACAATACTGTACTGTATGTAGTTCTCACTAACCAGTTTGCATTAGTTCCTATGCCTGTGTTGGTAACATGCAGTCTTAGCTAATTGGTATTGAATTTATCTTGACCACATATAAACGTACATGATGTGCGTGTGTGGGTGTGTATTTGTGGGTTAAAAAAATTTTAAATTGTGTAAATTGATCAGTGTGTAGATACAATAATTCTAACACTTTTCTTTTTTATCAGCTGCTTTGTGGGTATGTGTTGTGCTTGCCCCACACAGTGGTATTTTAGTGAAACAACAGTGGCAGAGAACCCTGGAGCAGTGGGCACACACAGACGTTTGTCCTCTCGAGGATCCTGATCACAGACACCAGGACAACAATGATAGAGTTAGTATAATTTGCTGTTGAACATTTATTTGTAATTATTATTTAATATATATATCCTTCTTTGTATTGTATATACTGTACAGTATTATACAGTAATTGGATTCATTAAATATTTTTTTTTATTCCAGTAGAATTATTATACAGTACTCTAAACATAACGTTTGCAAACACATTTTTAATTGTACATTACTCTGTTCTGATATTCAAATTGCACAATATAATTTGGAAGAATTTTAAAGATTTTTTATGGTTAGTTTATCTAAGAATCACTTGAATCTTTGGCTCAGCTTGTGCTGATAATAAGGCATTGCAAGTGGATAAACAGTAAGGAAACACTGAGAACAACAAGAATATATACAAGAATTTATAATTTTACAATTCAGTACTGTACTATATGTGGAAAACCATGTTAAACATAAAACCGTCTGCAAAGTTTGAAATGAGATTGAATTAAAATGTAAGTGAAAAGTCTTAAACTATCAGCTTCAGAAAAAAAGTAAAAAATTGCACATTTCCTTCCTCTGTGGCATTGCTTTTCCCATTTGGTGATCAATGGGAGATGGCAGTTATACCCTTTGTACAGAACTTGGCTTTGCCTGTGCTGTGAGCTGAAGGTAACATAAATCATGATTATAATCCCTTTTTCCATTTTAATTCAGACACATCACATGATAACCACCAAATATGTACAGGAAGTTATTACAATCATTCGTAGATAGGTTAAAAGATTATTAAAGAAATGTAAGCAAAGCTTAGCATTTGTACTGTTTGTATTGATATGCACATGTTTGAAAAGAAGTGGAATGAAGTGCTACGGGTCAAGAAATTCATCAAGCGCAGAATATGACACAAACTAAGATAAAAAACTTTTTTTAACAAACTTATCAGGGCCTTATTAATGTTGTAATGGTTGTCTTGTAAACCAATCCATATACAGTACAGTATATTTATTAGAGGGTCCCGGTAGTACTGTTGGGTTTGTTCTCGACTAACAATCAAGAATTCCGGGTTCGAATCCCAGGCTGGACAAGTGGCTGGGTGTGTTTCATATTGCTAAATACTCCTGTCCACCTTGCGTACCATAAATAGGTACCCAAGAGTTAGTCAGCTTGTTGTGGGGTTGTATCATGCCGAGGGTCAGTAATTTTACCCTGAGGAGGACCTTGATAGAAGCCTAACATGTACTGTATGTATCTGTCTGCCTGCCCCTCGACACAATAAATTATTATTATTATTAATTAATCTAATTAATTATGATATTAATTGTTGAAGGTCCACTTCTCAACAAAAAATTTGAAGAATTCTACTCATTGGTTTTCCTTTCTATTAAAATTGTGTAAATACTGTGCTGCTATTAAGAAGTACAATATTCAATGAAAAAAGAACAAAAATTGTGGTGATAGTGAAACATGAAAAGACTTAGAAATATAAATATTGGAAGTTGAACAGAGCACCTGTACATTCTATACAGGACTGTCTTCCCATTGTCTTCCTGACCTTTGCATGTTGTGTTGATAGCAATGCTCTATCTGTTTTGTACATTTGTGTTTCCCTTTGCAAGGAATTGTCAACTGCCTCACTTTAGTTACAACCAAAGTAATATGTAGACGTCTTAGTAAATTGTTTAATTCAATTGGAATGCATTTGTAATGTCTGGCAAAGAATTTTACAGCTGATATAATTCTCATTATTAACATCCACTGCTTGCAGTCAATGTTGATAAGAAAGAAATATGATTAATGAAGGCACAGGCTTCAATTTGAAGGAGATCGAGCAGTATGGGATGAGAATCTGTGTAACTCGAGTTCCCTCATATTATGTGAAAAGTACTGATAATGGGTACTGTATTACAAACCTGCTGATTATCTGTTATCTTGCCAAGACTACTTAAATCTTGTGGCATTTGTAACAGAAATTTCTTGTTTATATGATTAGGCAAAGTTTTAAATTATTTTATTTTATTCTAATGAAAACTTTTTTTCAGAATCATTCAGCAGCTTACTACCTGAGTTCTGATGAGGAGTCAAGTGATGAGGATAATGAGCTTAGACGAAGAGACCCCAATAGAGATGTTAATAATAGGGATCACTACCATCGTCACCATCATAACCATATTCATCATCATAACCAAAGAGAAATTAGAGATAGAGATAGAAGATCTTCTCACAGGTACAGAGACAACTATTTATTTATTTTTTTGCATAAAATACACTACTCTAAAGAAGAATTTGTTTACTGTATTTTGTTTTCCATTTTTAAATTATCTTCTACAAGGTACTGTACAGTATTTTAATATTTATACAAAATAAAGCAAGAGTGAATTCAGTTTTTTGCAGTCTTTGCCTTTGTTATGGTTAAAATAAAGTTTGTCTACAGTTTCTTACTCTGGCTTATGTAAGCTAAAATTATAATGCTACCATTTTTTATTTCAATAAAATGATTAAAATTTAGTAGACTTGCAAAAATTATTTTATTTATAAATTTATTATATAAATTCTTCCAATGTTTATCTTCTATTTATCTTCTAGACGACACAAGCGACGGAGGATTTCTGCACCGCCCCGAACAATATTCCATAGAGCAATAGATGCTTGTAATATGTCTTGGGATGACCAACATTTGCAAACCATTCTTGCTGGTGAAACCCCGGTGCTAAGGACTTCGCAACATTCCTCTTCTTATTACAATGAACAAGGACAACCACTCTGGCATGGTAATGTTGCTTTAGCATCATTAGTACTTAAAAGATTAATGGGGATATAATGGCTTTTAAAATAAAAGCCACAGATCCATGCCACAAATATCACAATTACCTTACCTTACCTTATCCCAAATACTGTTGAGGGCAAACTCTTGACATTATTATTCCTCTCTCTCAACTATCAAAATAATGTAATATTAAGGTGATTTTTGTCTTAGAACAGCAATGTTTCTTGTGGTTGAATCAGTTTTTTCCATGAAATATTCTAAAAATTTAGTCTTGTGAAAAATTTCAGGGGACTCAAGTCATGGCCTGAAAAGAACAAAACATTAAAGAAATAATTAATTAGTATTTCATTCTTCAGCTCCAAAATATTATCAAAGTTCATTTTTTTATCACTGGGAATTTTAAAATGTCTGCTAGAGTTTCTAAAAAAAAATTCTCTAGGCAATCCCTTGTTTGCTTTACTTCAGACAAACTTACTTGTGATAATATATATTCACTGTATTATTAACACAGTATACCATTATTTTTCATATTTTACAGCAGTCCATGACAAATATTTAACATTTTTTTCTTACAGAACCGGTGCCGGTGGCATGTTCTCGTGTCGACGCTCTGAGATCGCATGGCTATAACTCGGAAGCACTAAGACTTGCTGTAGCTGTGGTGCGAACACTAAAGCAGGCACAGAGAGAAGCGTATCTCTGGTGGGGAAGTAAGAGGGATGAAATGCTCCCAAGGTGTTCTGCCTCAAGAGCCTGTAGATCCCTTGGTCCAGGAGCATTAGAAAGTTGGGTGGGACATCCTTTAGACCCCATAACCTGTCTTTTTGATACTTTAGCTGAAGCATCCCTCTTACCTGAAGATTTACCAAGATTTCAGTATCACAGTGGTAAGTCAATGATTCAGATGCATAGTACAAAATAACCTACAAAGAATACATTTCTTATCTTCTTTTCTTCTGTATCTAATGCACTCTTTCTCAGTACAGCATAAGGCATCCATGTATGATCTTTAAACACCTTCATACATTCATTCTCAAGTTATTTTCTTTCTTCTTTTTAGTTTTTTTTTATTTATTTCTAAGGAACTAGTGAGACCTTCATTCTTCACCAACCAATTTTGTTTGTACACAAATGCACTTTATCAGAAATCTAATTTTCTCTATTAATTTTTTGACTGCATCACCCGTGTTACCTCTTTGCAGTAAATCCGTTTCGTGTCTGCAAGACATAGTGTTTAAGCTGCAATTGTTCCAGGATTATTTGTTTTAAAACTTTATAAACTGGCTGTAAGACTATCTGCAATGTGTTATCACTATAAAGTCATATTAAAGTCATATCTTCAATGTGTTATCACTATAAAGTCATAATTTTGTTTAAATATCTATATACATTATTTAATGCCACGGAATTCTTTCAACAGATTGGTTAGGTGTAGCTAACGAAGATGCAACAAATCTGGCACCGCTGAGATACCGTCATGTTCCCATCCCAGGCTCTAGTGATCCTTGGGAGTCTTACCTTACCTTAGCCCTGGAAGCTGCACTAATTGGCCTTGGCCAGCAACGTGCTATGCCTCCTGGACTCTATGCCCAAGAAAAAGCCTGCAAACAAGAAGAAAAGATGATACTAAAACTCCAAGAACTTAACCTTGACTCGCCTCTCCTAGCGGTATTACGTCGTCAAGCTAGATTACTTTTGGAGGGTGGACCATTTTCTGGGCTTGGTGAGGGCATTCACCCGGAGAGTGTACCAATGCATACTTTCACAAAGTTCCTATTTACCGCTCTTTTGCCTCATGACCCTGACCTGGCATATCAACTGGCATTAAGAGCAATAAGGTGTGTACATGGATCATTATTTCAAGATTACAGCTTGTTCTTAACCTGCAGTAAAGTTATTTTTTTTTTACATTGACTAATATTTTCTAATCAGAAATAGGATGTTAATTAATTTTGTAATTTTTTATACAATTCAGTCGGCTAGATAGACAACGAGTAAAGATTTTATGTATTTAATTTAAGTGAGTTATTGTCAAAAGAAGGCCTCCAACTAGGAAGACTGTAGCACTATCACTGTTGCTGTATATTTTAAAAGGCACTAAATGTCATTGAGGATGTGTTACGGCCCTCTCGGGTCGCAACCGGGTTCTTACTCTGATGTTGCTAGAGGAAGGGTATCCGGCCCCAAGCTAGTAGTGGCTTTCAAGGAATGAGATCCGTTACGCAAGTAAATTAAAGGGGAAGGGAAATAAAGTCAAAAACTTAATAATATAATTACCGTCACCAATAAATATATATATAAAAGGTTACACAAGGGGGGGTATAAACACTGTTATCTACAAAGTAGTCTTCTTCTGAAGACGCCGAGTGTTCTACGGTGCTCACGATGCTAAGCTCTTGGTGCTCTTGTGGCCTTACGATGAATCCTTCGATCCGCTCGAGTCTACCCTGGCCACAGGCCAGCCAAATCACAGTTCCACTGGGGGCACCGTCGTGGAGGCCATCAACCACAAGTCCAGCCGGTAGCTGACAGGTTCTAATCAGCGACGCTGGTTAGGCCACCCCACGATCGATACTAAGGTCGCGAACCCTAGTCAGGAGCCTCGTGTGATCCCACAGACCACTCTCCTTGCCACAACACCCCAGTGGTTAAGCGTCTCCACCAGTCAGTCCCGGGTACTACAATCCCTGAACTGCCACGTCACAGGCAGGGTAACACCACAGTGTTCATCTGGGGAGCGACTCACAGCTGCTGCAGCAAACACTTGGAGACCTGTCGGCTGCCTTGGGTAGACTGATCCAACTTCCATTACAGCAGTCCCAGGTCGACTCTGTAATCAGACACGTCATCAGTAACGATTACACACTAGGGCACGTCACTTACCGGCTCAGACCCAAACGCCCACCTATCCAATCCATAGATGGCGTTGCTGTCTGAGCGCCACCTCACCAGAGGTCAGCAGCGGCTGTGTTATGAGCTGATTAGGACGGGAAACTAGCCCTTGTGGCTGGTATTTCCTGTCCTCACTTGATGGCGCCGTCCATTTGGAGGGGGTTTCGGGAGCTGACCCACAGATGGCGTGGTCGTCACTGCTCCGTGCTCGGACGTTGGGCTCAGGTCCGTAACAGGATGACAATATGAGAACAAAAGCACATTGGACGAGCAGTGTGAAAGGTATCAAGATTCACCCTGGATTTTGTCAAGAGACAAATAACCTCAAGGGACATTTGGAAAGCAAGAGATATGCTCGTCCTGAAAATCAGGACATTCCACAAGCAAGTGCATGACTAAGTGGGAAAATGCAGTTTGGACAATAAGGAGCAGGGTGGCATTCCTAGCCAAAGCTATTTCCCACTGCCTATTACAGTGGTAGAAGGAAGGCCAAGGAGTTAGTTTACTTTTAAGACCGCATAGTTTGTTATCTGTAACCTCAGAACAACGAGCCTGCCAATGGTCTCAGATCAAGGAATGAATGGCTCGGTAGAAATCTTAATAAAGAATGCCTCTTTTTGGAAATAGGACAAGTGCAGACAGTCTCCTTAATGGAGGTCAGGTCACATTGAATGTTCGCACATTCATTTAAGGTACAGTAATATGTACCAATATGGCTGAAAACCCAGAAAAACTCAACTGTCTTTAATGTGCTAGAGATAAGAAATTGCCAATGTTGAATTTTGATTACCACAGGAATATTTAAGTATAGGTGATTTAGCATTATTCATGCATTATTCACACAAAATGTATCATTTACCATAGGTAGTTTTCATACATTTGTTACTTTTCTCTAGTTCAGGATTAACACGTGTTTTTAAGTGTTAATCCTGTTAATCTCTTTATAAAGCAGTTCTTATATAATTAATCATGTCATTTGATTCCAATTTTTTTTATTTATTTATTTGCAATGTTGTATCCTGTGAATAAACTTGACAAATGTTCTTAAAGATTTTATAAATAATTTGTAAATTTCCCTGTAATTAGTGATACCACCTTGTTCTTTGGTTTAACCTATACATTATTATCGTTTTATTTTTCAGATTACCCATCCTGGAAGATCACGACGATGTAGATGATCCAGTTAATGGTAACGTGTCTTCACTGGTGCTGTCCCGATATCCTCGCTGGTTCACTTTGGGTCACATTGAAACTCAGCAGTGTACTCTTGCCTGCACGATGATAAATGCAGCAAAGAGTAAGTTACATTCTGTATACATATTAAAGTTATTCGTTATCTTGCTTGAGAAAGTTCTTTTGTGCTGGGGCTTTATTATTAATATTTTAGGAAAATATTTTTAACTATTTCATTACCTAGCTTCATTTAGCTGAAAAAGCAATTAAACTTCATACTGATTTACGTTAAGATAATATTACGCATTAATACATTGGTTGATGCTAGACATAAAAAACAGTACAGTATATTAAAAGACGTAATTAGAGTAATCTTGTATATACAGTACAATTATTACTAATTTATTGAAAAATTGGACACAAAATTTCTTTAATTATATGCTGTACACTGTTCATTCTGCCATAAAACTAGCCATTAGCCATAAACAAAGAGCTTTATTTGGAACCAATATTTTGTTGTTACTTGACTTTCATTGTATGACTTCTGTTTTGTATTTTCTCTTCTTGACAAATATATTACCAAATATTTCAGACGATGTTATGCGCTTACGATCAGTTTTGGATGCTGCCTTAAGGAACATTCACAGTTCCTCGCATCTCTTCAAATTAGCTCAGGATGCATTTAGACTTGGCCTTCCTGGAGAAGGCCAGAGAAACTCGCTCCTCCTAAATGCTGCATTGGAATTAGGACTTCAGGTAAAAACCATTTTGATTACTTTTTGTATTTGTTAATTTGATTTATTTGTAGCAAGAACACATTTGCTGATGAAATCTCACCCTATACCAAATAATGATAATAATAATAATAGAAAATTTAGGAGCTTTTCTCTAGCAAAGTACAAAATTCTTTCATGTGTATTTACTGGAGCTAACTTGGGTCACTTATTAGTACATTACTGTAATAGAGGTGCAATGTTATCAAATATAAAAGCAAATGATGTGAGTAGTTTTCTTTTCATCAAGAAAAATGTGTGCTCTGACTTTATTCATATTCTTAATGTCTAGCAGTAGTAGGTCATCTTGTATCACAAAATTATGCACTTTGCTCCCAATTATTGAGATTTCCAGTAATACGTAATTTGGTACAATACATTGATATGTATGTTTCAAGTATTGTATTTAGGTCAGATATTTAGAAATATGAAATATGAAATGCTCTTACTTTTGGACCAGAAATGTAATTATTAATTCAAATATGCAATAAATAATACAACTTTATTTTAGGTTATGCGGATGACTCTTACTTCGCTCAACTGGCGGCGTCGAGAAATGGTTCGTTGGTTGGTTACTTGTGCAACAGAAGTAGGAGTATCGGCTTTAATTTCGATCATGCAGAATTGGTTCACACTATTCACTCCAACTGAAGCAACTGGAGCTGTAGCTTCAACAATCATGAGCCACACAACAGTGATGCGGTTGCAGCTGGATCGTTCCAAGCAAGATGAGCTTGCTGCTTGTGCTAGATCACTAGCTTTGCAGTGTGCTACTAAAGTACGTAGTTTAAACATTTATAATAAATTTATTAAAGCTTTTAGCAGTCAAATAAAAAGTGTTATTAATACATTCTAGAGGCATATGTAACTGAATGAATATTAGTGCTGCACATTATAAAGGCATTTTCTGAATGTTTGCTGTTGTTTCAGGACTCAGCCCTTCAAAGTGTACTTTTTAATTTCTTTACTGTGTTATGAAATAAGTACAACAGAAGAGTTTTGCTATTCCTGTAGTGTTTAGTGCATTTCATGATGGGGATTGGTGTACCCCAAATTTGTTCTACAGTTAATCAGTCAAGCAGATTGCTTACCTATAATAGAGGACAAATCTAGCTCTTATGCCCCTTGTGCATTATATTTTAAATCTAATGTCAAATGCTCCACTGTATCTGCTCTTAATATTGTGGATGGAGAGGGATTGAATATGCTTATTTTATACTGCCCTAAAGAAGCACCAAGAAAGAAACCATGATTACGTGACTTTATGAAACAAATTCCTTATGCAGCAGGCATTGGAAAGATATATCGTGTGATCACATGTTTTACATTTATTTTTAAGGATTTATAACTTGCATTACATTTGTCATAGTTTTTGCTTAAGTGATATATGCCTTTTTTCCCCAGTTATAATTTGCTTCACATTCTCAAAAATGCTTTACCTTAATCATTGCCATATTTATTGTTTTACACTGTTACAGTCACTCTTTGTAGTTAAAGAGCCATTCACTTCTGTTGGAGGTATCTTAGTACAGTATATCTAGCTAAATATTCAGCAGGCTTTTATCACAAGTAATCTTCAACATTTTAAGGTGTTCAGATGGTCAGTAGCTAGAACACCAGGAAACATTTTGCATGCGCAACCGTTATGATAATGCAGAATTACTGCAACGATATTAAATGGTCTAAATAATTGTGATTTATGCTTATTCGACTTTTTTGTTTAGAAAATTTTAAATTATATAATTTTAATTAATTGCATATTTCATCTTTTCAGGACCCACCTAATTGTGCACTGAATGCCTTGACTCTGTGTGAAAGTGATCCAGTATCGTTTGAGACAGCTTACCAAGTAGTTGTGGATGCTGCTGCTCACACCATGTCATCCTCCCAACTCTTCACTATTGCACGATACATGGAACACCGTGGATACCCACACCGCGCTTACACTCTGGCAATGTTGGCCATGCGCAGTGTTCATTTAGCGTATAATCAGGATCCTCATCCGGCAATTAATGATATCCACTGGGCTGTAGCGTTGGCACATTCACTTGGTCGTGCAGAACTCTCCCAACTACTACCAGTGCTCATTAAAAATGTCCAGTGTGCAACTGTGTTATCTGATGTTTTACGACGTTGCTCCTTATCTGCCCCAGGCATGGCATGTCCAGACTCTAAACGTCGGCCAATTAAGCCTCTAGCTTTTGATAAGGCACCTTTACGAGGCCTTCTTGAAGCCACAATCCTGGCTTACATCAACACAACAAATTCTCGCTTGACTCATATTTCACCTAGACACTACCAAGATTTTATTGACTTTTTAACTAAAGCCCATGAAACATTTATGCTTGCCCATGATGGACACATCCAATTTGCACAATTAATTGAAAATATGAAAGTGGCATACAAGGGCAAGAAAAAGTTAATGTGCTTAGTACGGGAACGATTTGGCTGATGTCTAGTGAATCAGTACCAGCGACATTGCAGAAAGTGCTTCAGTAAAATATTAAGTTCTTCCCATTAAACAGCTCAAAAAAATGTCATTATTATAAGTTTTGCATTTTTCAAGGCCAGATGTCCAACTGTGAATAACTGTATAAATAAGTGCTATAAAAGTGGTCTGCTGAGTGGATTAGATTATAATTCAGTGACATTATATTTTGACTTACCCATTTTTTTTTTTAAGTTGACCACAGTGAAGTAGCACTGTAAGTTAATATTTCCTAATTGTTAATTAATTCTCATGGCATGGTACAGAGACTTTTTTTGTGAATAACTGAAAGAACCTTTGTATATTTATCCCTTTTAATATATAATGACTGATAGGTAACATGTACAAGCTCGTGAATTGTTGATAAATCACTATAATTCTGATTTAAAGGTATGTGCAAGTTGAATTACGTGTGCTAAGAACGTAACATAATCCTCATTTTATTTTTAATACTATGTATATTATTTATTCAATTGCTTTTGCAAGTACTGTGTATTTATACCAAAGATTAGTGAGAAACAAATGGGTTAGCACTTTGCATCTAATCCAAAGCTGCAAGCAAACCCAGTAGACAGTGTGATACTATGCTAAGTGGAATCCCACCTCTTATGCCCATATCACGCGGAGTTGGCGCCGTCAGGGACTCCAGTACAAACTACGGCAAAGTTCACGTGCTAAAGAATGTTCAGGCTCGGTAGATATTCTTACCTTATCAGCCAGTGATAAGTCTCAAAACTCTAGAGCAGTCAATCATAACTGGTAAGAAAATTCTGGAGCTTAAGCATTTAGCTTCTGTGGATGCAGCCTATATTGTCAGGCCTCTCTCAGTCTCTACCCTGCAATAGAATATGGGTTGAGGATGCAGATACTGATGCAGATATCTTGGGATTTGGGGTATCTGATCAAAAGATTGAAACTCAATGCAATATATCAAAAGAACTAAATAGGCATTGCAACGTATAATTTGGATATTATGATATTTTTAATTTTGTTAGGTACTGTATACTGTATAAAGCCAAGAAAATTTGAAAAGATTATTAAAATAAAGAACACTAATATGAAAATGTGAGAAAGTTAAAAAAACTCTGCATGCTGATACAGTATTTAAAATTGTGATGTAACTGATACCTGTGATCTTTAGGTATGATTTCAGAAAAGCTCAAAATCCTGTGTTATATGAGCAGTGGATTATCCATACCGAAAGATCACATTGCCTGACCTATACACAAAATATAAACGTCAATATATTGCAGGAGTGACAACCAGTGGAAACATATAGTCGGAAATACTGTGTGCTACTGTAGTGCTGCCTCTCAACAAAAGTTAATTTCCGACGATAATGCACTTTAGTGATCTACCTCCGTATTCTTATGTAGCAAACACAGCCGTGGCCTATGTAGATGGTTGTTTTTGTTTGCTGTCTTGCCATATCTTCAAAAGGTCCAGTGTGTTATGTATATGATCTCATGTCTAAGGACAAAAAAAAAGTCTCTTTCTAGGCTGTAGATTTCCAAGTGTATATATACATATGTGTGTATATATGTGTTTGTATATATATTATATATATATATATATTATATATATTATTATATATATATTATATATATATATATTACTATATATATATATATATATTATATATATATTATATATATATATTATATATATATATATAATATATATATATATAATATATAAATAAAATATATACATACATACATGTATATGTATGTGTGTGTAGTATGTAAGGTGCCACAGTGCCCTAAGGCATGGTTGTTTTTAGGTCTCAGTTAGCATCTTTAACCTTCTAGTGGCTCCAAAACCATTTCTGTGTTCTTGAGTGCTTAAAATTGCTCCTTATTTATGTAGTGTCAACAATGTCAGGAGTATTATTTGTACTTTGTGGAAATGGTTGGTTTCACATTTTTAGCCCATGTTGATTTTTTTTAGTCAAATGAATATAAACTGTTTTTGACACATTGGCAAGCTAATAGTTTAATTAGTGTTATATTAATGAAACTAGTGTTCATGCTTGTTTTTCCTCTTTTTTAAAAGGAATTTTTTTGTTGCTTAGTGTTACTACTGGTATTAAGTTATTTATGTACAAAATACGTTGTGCTGGTTGACACCAGTGCCTCCCCAAAACTTCCAGAATGGCTACGTATTGCACGTGTACACCGCTAGACTCTCAAGTCCTATGTGTGATCTAACAGTGTCCCCTGTAAATAGTAATAATCTCAATAATTTAATGCCCAACTTTGCAAAAGCTTCATGAGCCCAAACTTGATGTGTATTGTCTGTGTATAGGTCTATGTGTACTTCCAACTAGCATACGAGAGCCTTGGGTATTTTTCCATTGGTATAAATGGATACGTTTTGTTGAGTGCAAGTTTTTACCTCTTTTTTTTTCAGTTGTTTCTTGTGTGGGCAAGCTATATACAAACATATATATATATATATATAAAACAAATGAGGTGCAAGAATATTTACTATGGAGGAGTTGTATCTGTAGAAATATTTGTAACGGCAAATAAAAACATTTGCTTGTAACAATGCAGTTGTACATTTAGATGCTGAATGCATCTACTCTGAGTATTTCAGAATTCCAAGAGAGAATCAAGGGTATACACCACTCAGTATTTTAGATAGGTTCTGAATTTTAACCTCTAGTGTGATTGCATCCTATTTATTTCATCATGCCAAATTTGCCTACAGCCTTATGTTATAACAGATCATGTTTAAGCCATAAATCCATAAAGCATATAACCTCATAATAGCACAAGGAATAAAGTTACATCCTTGAGTGATCATTATACATAAAGGAAAGACATTATGTAGGCATGATCAGTAATCATGAGGTCACCGAGTTGTGACAATCTTAGCTAGAGGCATATCACTCAAAAGGTCCTTGTGTCCAAAGCACTGAATTATTCTAACATTTCAATCATTTGCTTAAAATGAAAGTGTAAGATAAAACTGAAGTGCATGTGAATATTGTAAAATGCATGTCAATGCTTGAGACTTGTATAATATATGTAGGAACTTGTACATAGTAGAGTGACATGTTAGGGTCACCATAGTACTAGGTAGGTTATTCTCTCTCTTTATATCTCTTCATCTCAGTCTCTCTTTCTGGGCATACATATTAATCCTCACACCTCTAGAATCCCAGTGGATGCATTTTGTTATGGTACGGTACATCAAACTTGAAAAGTTCATATCTGTTCGGTGATTACTATATTTATAAAAGTTTTAAAGGAAAAATATTTCTTCTTTTACCTGTCTCAGATGTTTTAAGAATTAATTATCTACTGTGTTTTCAAGGCAGTTGTCAAGAAAATTGTTGTTATCCTCATTTAATTCAGTTGTTGTTATTTATATTCGTTCAGAATTATGATACTTTATGATTTCTTTGAAGAAATGTGGTGTGAAAAGTAATGACTTATAATTCAAACTTGGTAATCTATGTGAGTGATTGAAAGTGTGTGAAACTGAATGGACACTTAGATGTGAAAGTTTGTTTACATTTTTTGTTAATTAAATAAGAATGTTTGGTAAGTGTCCATTGCTAAACTGTTCCATTAACATTATTTGTTTAGAATTATTTATCGTGTGATTCACAAAATTTTAATTAAGGCATACAGGATCTTTGCAAAGCCATATGCAAGTGTGTACAGTACAAGTGGATGACGTAAATAAGAATTTTGTTCTTGTTTTTATTTAAGTTATGCAGATATCCCCACCCCACCAATTTTATCCCACCCATCCTTATCCATTTCCTCTTTCAAAACTCCCAACCCATTTTTGTCCTGTCATGATTATTGTTTCTGCCATTTTTTACATTTGTATTAAAGACTTTACAAGGAGAAATTATTTTATTATCCTCTTGCTGCTTTTGAATATAAAATGTGTGCACATGCATGAACTATTATGTTATTACTTCCATTTTAAATACAGTATTTAGTGACATAAGATGTATAAACTTCACCACTCAACAGTCAGTAGAGCAAACCAACCCTGTAGACCCTGTAATGATGTTAAGGTAAGGTAATCATGAGGTGAAAGCACTAAGGCAGTATGCCTATATATCGTTTTGAAGGGATATGAGGACAAGAAACCAAGATAGGATAGTAAAGGAACAGTGCCCAACCACTTGGAACTGGGAGTCAAACACTAACCCTGTATCTTACAAGACTGCTGTACAATTTTCTTCCCATTAAAAGTCAAACATTCTGATCAGGGCCATTGTTTATGTATAAAAACATGAACAATGAATCGAAACTGTCATAAGAGACGTCCTGTTTTCTGATGACCATGCCCTCAACACCAGCACAGCAAATGATGCAGCACGAAATGGACTGCTTGCAAGCCTACGATAACTTTGGTCTCATCATCAACGCCAAAAAGACAAGACCCCGGAACACCCTTCCAGGAACCACACATCACTGTCAAAGGCAGAACCTGCAGTCAGTCGACAACTTCACCGATCTTGGCACCATACTTTCAAGAGCAGTGAACATAGATACATTAGTCCAGCACTGCCTTTGGAAGGTTCCATGAGGGCCTGGAAGTTTGGGAGATGAGGGGCCTCAGCCTTACCACCAAACTGAAGGGCAACTGTGCGGTGGTCTCCAGCATAACCTGGAATGTCTACAGCAGACACGCCAAACGGTTAATCATTTTCACTTGAGCTGTCTCTGCAGACATCAGGAGGCAGGACAAAATCCCAGACATAGATGTCCTGGAAGGGGGCTGGTATTCCCAGAAAACTCAGGCCAAATGGGCAGGTCATGTTGTCAAAAGTGCCTGACAACCGATGGCCAAATGGTAAATTATCTCTTGACATGTTCATTTGGGGGCAGAAGAAACGTTTCAAGGACTGCCTTAAGATGACCCTTAAAGACATGGACCTCAACTCCAATACTTGTGAGTCACTTGCTCAGGATCGTCCAACCTACGAAAAGCAGTCACCACAGAAGGCTCGTGGGGCAGAGAATAGACAGACTGCAGAGGCCCAAAGGAAACATGATGTACAGTATGCAAAGCTAGAGCAACCTCCACTTCTGCCGTAACTCCACAAATGCTTCACCCACCTACAACAAATACAAATAATCGCCAACAGAACTTAAACACCAGACTAAACCTATGCTTAATTATACATTGAACTTTAATGTATGTTACTATTAATTTATATATGGAATAAAAAAATTAATACACTACGTTAAAATTGATGAATTCCTTAAGACAGGTCGGGGCCGTGGGGCAGTGCATGTGTCTGGGGTGATCCAGGAGGGTGGTCCGGTTGTGTTGTCCTGCCACAAAGCCTTTCTCATATCTGTATCGCGCTACTGTATTGTGATTTCATTGTACTGTATATCTGAACTATGTTCTGACTAAAGTATACTTGCTGATTGGCCGGTCAGCTACTGTGATATAGCTGACTGGCTAAGGCTAACTAACTCAAGCAAACCACCAATCCCAATTTTTTTCCCCAATCTAGTGCATATTGTTTGTTAAAGTCGGTGTTCCGTCGTTAAAAGAAGACAGCCGCAATTGGTACGTATTGTCTTGGATTTATTTCGTACAGACAAAATATCATATTCCGTCTCCTAAAAATCTACTCCATCATAAAAGGTTTCTCTGCAAATAACGAAAACCCAATTACAAAAATGTGATCATCGCCTCAACGTCTTTCTTTAACGAGAAAGTCGACAATACTTATGCAAGAGGAAGATCGAGTAGACAAAGTAAAGCAAGGATGTGAACAACGACAATTAGTTGAGAGGAGTAAGGCTTGCCAAAGTAATCAGTCTGGCCACATTCATGGTCCATGTTTACACCAACTCTTGTCACGCGTTAAACGTAGCCATGTTGCCCAGGTCTTATATTCTTAAACTTAACAACTATATCAAACTTTGTATTACTTGAGTAGTATTCTTATATAACTCCTTCCCCACTATTGCCTGTGATATACTAAAACTTTGTAATCATGAATTCTCATAATGGTAGTGTCATATTTGTATAGTTTCATACGACAGGTGTTGAAAACAGACTTATAGCTCCTGTTGAGACTATATGTAATGTTTTCACCGAGTGGGCGCAAACGTTATTCACTAAACGATCGACATCCCAATGGGGACTTCTGGAAGATACAGTTTCGGTTGTAAAATGTACATATTTATGTATATGCTCTGTCATCAATATTCAACATCAAACGTTACCCGCTGCTGTGACCTGGACACAGTAACATGTGTAACAAGATTGTATCCGCATTCCACTCCTCGAGTAACCGGTCTTGCATAATGTGTGACACCCGAGAGGGAGAGAAGGAGTGTTTTCACCTAGATGTGCTTGCAGGGTCGAGCTAGGCTCCTAGTCCTGCCTTCTGAAAGTTCGTTGATTAATGCAATGACTCATTTATTAAGCCTTTGTCATATTTACATTTAAAATTTTGAACTGAATTTGTTTCAACGACTTCTGCATTTAGCCTATTCGATTTACCTACAGCTCCTAACACTGAAAAGTTCTTCCTGATGT